TTTGAGAAAACACTTTATTAGTCACGGATTCTACATGAATCGGTAATTGCTTCCAAATTTCATTTTCCGTTAAAAAAGTTATAGAAGGAAGGCGGCTTGCACACGTGCTCTCCCAGACACCTGTCGAAGCAGCACTTGTCAATGCCGCCGCACTTGTAGTCGCTGGAGCAGGTTACAGGTGCTAGTTCACCGAAACGTACCGGTGGGCAGGTGTCACGGACTCGTGGGCAGTCAAGTATCTTGGTGCCCACGGGTGCCTCGGGTTCAAACCTGGTCTCGCAGCAGTAGACAGCTTTCTCTGGAGTTCGGCACCAACGCCTACAGGTGGCGGGTGGGGCTGTGATGCTAGGGAAGCCTCCAGGAAATCCACCAGGGAAGCCTCCGGGTCGCAAGCCGTGCCTACTCTGAGCCGATGCTACCGCCAGGACACAGAACAGAATGACTCCGAGACCCTGAGAATTAGGAAACTGCGTCAGGAGAGTTCACAGCCTGTAGATGTTCATGACAGATATAAATAGGCTGTTCAAGGGGACCAGCCTCGTCGAAAAAAAAATCGTTCGGTTTTCCTTTAAGAGATCTCAAAAACGATTAAAAATAATTGTTCCCTATATTTTTGCATTAAGTACAAGTAATAAGAAAGCAAAGCATTATTTTATTAGCTATCTAATTCCCAGCATGCTACACAAATATAAGAGATCACTGTAATAAATAGTGTTCTAGCCACTGTCACAGGCTTTGCAATTATTTATAGTACATATATTTAGTGGAAGCCAGAAACCCTGAATCCATGAAGTCTTAGATATTCTGTTTCACTTAAAGATAATTTCCAAGCTGAGAAAAAGTGTATATAGAAACATAAATGTATATTTATAACTTGTGAATATTGTTATAATTTCCCTCATCACGCACGGAAGTACAACACCCTTTTCAAGTAATCTCAACAACAGTGTATGATGCAAATACCCATATTCAGAGAAACTTCGGACTTGAACAGAGAGCTGGGCCTGCATTTGGGGCCTGTCAGCCATTCATCATTGGCTGCGGCGCGAGACAGCCCGACGGTGATTGGCTGACGGGCGCGGAATAATGATCCGGCTCTCCGTTTAAGCTGTCCGAAATGTCTCTGAATATGAGCATCAGATTTGGCTATTGCGCTACTGCCAGAAATAGGTATCAAGTTTGCTTTTCGGATTAAAGATGAAGGGCTGTATTGAGGAATGTAAAAAAAAAAAAAAAAAAAAAATACTTGAAATTATAAAAACGGAGTGCATTTCTCGGCAATAATTATCCCAAGTGTGTTTATATTGAAATCCAAATTGTGTACAGAGAAAAATCACAAAAAAAAATATTTAACTTTCACTCCAAACAGGAAAAATGACCAAAAGTCAACGATTACAAATACAAGCTCGTACCTTCATGGTCGCGTCCAGTATCAGCCAGTGATGTGCTTCAGATGCCCCCCTTGATTTTATAATGCGCTGTGGCTCCTCCCTTTCTGCCCTCTCCCCTACCCCACTTCCTCTCACGTGGCTGGGACATCCCATTTACATTTCAAGAGCTGGTATTTTCCAGTGTTTGTTTATAAGTTGTTTGTTGACTGATGCTTGTAATTTATATCTATCTCCCTATCTTTATATGTGTCTCTGCTTATACTGTGTGTGTATCTGTCCACACGAGTTCGTTTTTTTATGTTACACATACATATGCATATCTCTCTCTCTCTCTCTCTCTCTCTATATATATATATATATATATATATATATACACACATATATATACATATATTTATTTATATATATATACGTATATATATATATATATATATATATATATATATATATATATATACATATATTTATTTATATATATATACATATATATATACATATATATATACATATATATATATATTTACATATATATATATATATATATATATATATATATATATATATATATATATGTATGTATGTATGTATGTATATACACATACGTATATGTATATATACATATATATATATATATATATATATATATATATATATATATATATATATATACACATACATATATGTATATATACATATATTAGGAACAAATAAACCAGGCTTATCGGGAACAGCATCTTTATTTTCCGCAGACGTTTTGGGTCGAAAGTTCGTTACCCATTATCACGGGTTAGCTGAAACAGCAACACAGCATAAAACCATGAAGGTCTGATGCATCACGAGACATTCGAGAATAAAAGCATACAGATTTACAAAATTATTAAATATAATTTTAATAAAAATTATACAGAGAATGACGCAAACGCAACTGTCATTAGTTATTTTCCGTTTACATTTGGTAATCTTGGAACATTGCAGTGGCGTAGATAGAGGGGGGAGGGCGGAAAACCCCCCCTCTAGAGCTAAACTGCCATTTTGTCGAAAAATTGCTAATCTTGTCGGAAATTAATCATGAAGAAACGGAAATGCTTATAATTTTTTGTCGGAAAATC